AGACTTTATTTTTCTGTATCCAGAAAAGAAAAGGTAGGAAGATATTTTCTGGCTTTTATGCAGGGGAGAGAAAGAAGCAGAGAAGATTTTAACTAGTAGGTACATGAGTTGTTGAGCATGTCAGTGATCAGAAAAAGAAACTTGCTCCTGGGAGGAAAGGCTTAAAACCAGAAGATTTGATAAGGACAAGGGAATAGCTTCAAAGTGACCTTGTATCTGGGAACGCTAAAAACGACAGTGTGGGAAAATGCCATTTCTTATGCCAAGTGTTGTGCATCCTCTGCCTGTTTTGAGAAGAAGAATTCCTGTAGAGAGATAAGAGGCTCTCAGACATGTCTGAAGCTTTTTGTTCCAGTGAAGCAGGCAACAATCCTCTCCTAGGATGAACTAGGCAGAACAGACCCCGTGTCCCCGAGTGTCTCTGTTTGCTGGGATGAACTAAGCCAAACAGAGCCCATGTCCCTGAGTGTCTCTGCTACTTTGTGTTTTCAGCAAAGTAATGAGATGAATCCACTCTTTGCAATTTGGCTATGGTTTGATGGTTGTTCTGGTAACCTCTATGCATCCATTCACACACCTGCAAATGATTGTATCACCAAGTAGAGATCACAAAATCTTGTGACTCCTTCTCCTAAATTCACACACTTTAATTCAATGTCAGACAAAGTCTGCCATACTATTTGGTCAAATATACTCTTAGTTGCACAAAATTGCATTATTCTCCACATATTAAAAAATCCTCACTTGTTCCTCTGAAATTTACTACCCATTTTAATGCATGGACTGTAAATTTACTATGTAACATAAACTACCTCATAATATTATTCATAAAAGGAACCAAAAATATTCAAAATCTAATGCATTTGTATACATTGATACCAAGGTTAATACAACCATGTCTCTATCACATCAGCTACTACTAGCTTCCTGTTACCATGACAATTCAGTATCTTAATATCCTCAACAAAATCTACTGCAGAAAACAAATCTGTTCCATGGGCTAGTTAAAAACCTGGTCAATTCATCATCCTATGTATAAAATAAGAAAGTCACAGTTTAAGATCAAAACCAGGCTGATGAATCAACAAAATACCAAGGTATATTAACATCTCAGGCATATTTGAATCGTCTAAGAGCAGCTCTTCATGTAAGTTCAATCTTTAGACAGTTGCCTTCAAATGTGAAAACTGACAGTGTGGTTTGTTTTATTTGTTTTTTAGTTGCGGGTCATCAACAAATCCTCTATTCAACATAAAATAATGTTGAATAATTTATTCAACATTATTTTATGTAGCTATAATTTTCTACCAATTAAAGCAAATCAAAATTTCAGATAAATTATTTCAGAAGGGCATTCTGCAGGAAAGCCTTTGTATCAGGAGATAGTAAGAAATAACTTTCCAAACTAGATAAAAGAAAATGGCCAAGTTGCCTTTGGAAATTCAAATATGTCATGGTTTAACTCCAGCAAACAACTAATAACCCCACAGCCTTTTGCTCACTTCTGACAATCAAAACGAAAAACAACTTGAAGGCTGAAAAAAAAGGGATGCACAATACAATTGCTAACCACCCTCTCAGGGATGCCAAAATTTCATCTCTGAATTGAAATCAATTCCCACTTCCAGCTAACTCACACAGTTTATATACTGAGCATGACATTTTCTTGTATGGAATATCCATTTTTCCATCCTGGAAAATGGGACTATGGAAAATTGACTATGCTCCATCTCAGTTCCTTGTGCACCTCGTCATTGGCAGAGTGTGGGAAACAGAAAAGTCCTTTATTTAGGGTAAGCGCTGCTCAGCAATGACTGAAACATCAGTGTGCTATTCAGCATCTCATATTGAATCCAAAATTCAGCGCTGCACCAGCTACAGAAAAAATATTAACTCTATTCCTGTGAAAACCAGGACAACAGAGTTCAGCCATTGTGGTGGACATGAATCACAAATAGAGATTTTGGGGGGATTTTGCTGGCCAGATTTTATTTCTCCATTGCTTTCTGCTTTTCATTATGCCTCTCCATTGCTTACTGCCAAGTGGCAAGAGGTGGCAAACCAAAAAAATGGTTACTTAAACTTGTGTTATGTTATTCTCAAGGCACTACCAACCAAACCTGCCAGCTGTTACAGTTCTAACATTTTTACACTATGCTGCCTCAAGTCCTATCTTACTCTAAAACAATTATCTGCAGTTGCTGTTAGCAGAATATAGGATTTGGAATAGTTTAGCTCAATTTAAAGTCCTTTTCCTATTTTTGTGAATGTGCTTTCCCATAACAGTGAACCTCCAGCCTTTTTGAAATACCTTTAACACTTTCGCAGTCTTGGACACGACTATTAAACAGCTCCAACATAATCTAAATTACATCAATCTTCAAAATAAGAAATATATGAGACTTAGATTAAGCAAAAATTAAAGTCTTAGACTGAAAGCAATAATTAAGATTTCTTTTATAAAATTCATATTTATAAGACAGACATTGCTCACAGAATTTCTAGACCAACAGTTTTGTTTCCAAATGTGTTGGAAGAAATCTTACTCTGTGTCATAGGATAAAGTTAAATATGCATATCAAGGTACTGCTCACACAGGGAATTGAATAGGCTGAGGAGTCCAATAGCATATTAAAAAAATCCTAATTCATTCAAAAATTTGTCAGTAAAGACAAGAAATAGAAAACACAAAATATGCCTGTGCAGTTTGCAGGTCATTCTGTTTCTCTGCAGTTACTGATAATTACAAATTCAATACAGATACACATGTTAAATTTTGGATTCTGAAAATTCTTTAGCCTGTAGCAAGCCTTCTAGTAGGTGACTTGTATTTAGAGGTATCCAACCAGATGTCCATTTGGAAATACCAGAAAATGTCAATCGAAGTTTGAATGAGTGTCTGCAAGATAAGTGAAGCCCTTAAGCTGATAAAAATTGAAGTTAGGTTGAATGGGGCTTTGAGCAACTTGGTCTAATGGAAAATGTCCCTGCCTATGGCAGGGGTTTGGAACTAAATGATCTAATTTAAGATTAAATCAATATGTGATTCTATGATTGACTACCAGTCAGAAGGAAGGAATCTGTGAGTTAGAATAACATCTCCAGAGAAAGATATGAAGAGATATGCCCTGTTGAGTACGCATGATGCGAAGGCCAAGGATGTATTGGAGACTAGAAGATATGACTGGATATGGGCCTCTTTTTCATAGCACTTCAAAGATTTTAGCTTTTAAAAATAACCCCTACTTTAATTTACCAGCCAAGCTAGAAAAGGCCATGTACAAGCTTTGAGATTTGCAAGCTTGGATTTGCAAATGTTCTGGAAACAGATGCTGCTGCTGTAGTGGTTGCTGCTGCTGCAGGGTGATACAAGATTTTATTCTAGAAGAAGGTGAATAGAACTTCTGAACCATGGTTCTCAGTCAGATGCACAGAATTTATTTTTCTCCTGGCCCTGCTACCTGTGAGATGGGGATCACACCTTTGGGACAGAGGAGGTGAAATATTTCCTATGTGTCTGCAGGAATACAACAATCAACTTTGTGAAATCAGTGCACCGATAACAAACCTGACTGCAGAAGCAGCTTTAAGGAAAATCTCTTCAGGATTGACCACAAAGCCCTACAGTACATTAGAAAAGTATGATTTGATGCCAGTGGTGAAGCTATCTTAACTGTAAAGCTGACAGCGATAGAATGAATATGATCCAATATCCCCTAAGAGAGTCTCTACTAAGACAGAATAGAGCTGGGATTCATACTTATTTCATACCAATTTTTCCATCCTGCTTATTCTGTTGCTCTTATTCTTTACTCTGTCATGTTTCTGTCTGAACAACTAAATTATTTTACTTTCCAAGAATGTAAATGATCTGGGGAGCACAGTGAGTGAAACACACTGCAATAGTTTCTTTTCAATCCTGTGACATTTCATAACAGTGAAGTCCTTGGAAGATACATAGATCTGAATACCAAAAATTGCTTTCTCTTCCAGAATTTGAATTCCACCTCTTCTGTTCAAAGACACTCTTAATGGAAAACACAATTATCATTCAGTCTTTTTCTTCTCCGGTGACATAATTTCCATTTCAAACTGTACTTTTTTGTTGGTCACCTCTCAATCAGCTTGGCTGGGTTTGTTGAAGTCTTGCCAGTTGACATCAGAGCCATGATCCTTGTTCAGTTTAATTGTGTGCCTGTAAATATCATTTGCCGTAGATTCAGTTGATGCATTTTAAAGACGGGAATCCTAGCAGTCCTCTGCAATTGCTGTTAGAAGAATATACGAGCTGAAAATGTGCTTTTGAATACCTATGAACTTCCAGCCCTTCTGAAACAACCATTAGTACTGTCTCTTTAGAGTCTAGGACACGAGTATCTGACCATTAAGCTGTCCCAGGACAATCCAGATTACATAAATCTTCAGAATAAGAAATAGATGAGATTTAAATCACAGTGTTAGACTGAAAGGACTAGCTAATATTTCTTTGAAAAGATTCATATTACCAAGTGAATTAGGTGTTGTTTAAGAAATTTCTAGAGCTACAATATTATTTCCAAAAGTTGGAAGAAACCTTGTTGTGCCATGGGGTGGAGTTGCGTACAAATATCAAGGTACTGCTCACACAGGGAATTGAATGGGTTGAAGAGCATGAAAAGATAAGGAAAACCTGTAATGAATTCCAAAAGTGGTCAGTAAGAACAAGAGACAGAAAACACAAAAAATACATGTGCAGTTTACAGCTCATTAATTTTCCCTGCAGTTACCATTTAATTCCAAATGCAATACAGACAACCGTGCTAAAATTATACGTATAGCTGATGTTTTTAAAGATTTGAGTACTAACTGGAAAAAAAAATCATTGGTCTTGGTATTTAAAGTCTGATTGTGACTTTCATATGGATTCTAGTGGAATTTTTGGTTTTCTCTACTATGTACAGTGTGCTTATGCTCCTTTCTACGAGTGCATGAAGACCATGACGAGTAATTGAAATATTTGTTTCTTGAAGTTTGTCACTAAGACTGATCAGCAAGAGCAATTATCCATCAGTTCCTTATTTCTTCAAACAGCAGATGAAAAAAAAAGTTATTGCCTTGGGGCTGTGAACTTGCTGGAGCCCGTGAATCTTCCTAGTATAATCTGATTCAAATATCTTTCTGGTGAGTCTGGAGATTTCTTATCATTACAGCAAAAGGACTCACCTACCAGATTATCTTTCTGCTAGCTAAACTATGAGTCATCCTCTGAAATGTAAATGTTATGGTAGACTGTACTGAATAGTGCTGAGCTGAACTCCATGGGAATACTGACTCAGGGACCAAAGGAGGAGAGTTGAGTTGAGTGCACTCAACTACATGGATTTTCTTGTTGTTTCCAGTCACCTAATGGCAAATTTTGACAAGACAAAGAAAAAAAGCCAGATCCTGTAACAGTTAAATCCAGAATAAGCACTGAAACACAATAATCCAAATTTATTTTCCCTTGGGATGTCATGTTTTTGGGATGCATGTATGTCATGCTCTAGGCAGTGATAGGCCATGACCTTTCCAGTTCTCATCACAAAATGCATCAAGGGTGTTACAGATTAATGGAGATAGCTTTATTGAAACTTTCACTTTGGACATATTTGATACAATTAAATCTTAATTTTAGTTAAAGAAGCATGGAGAAGAAAAATACAGTGTATTTTGTGAACAGTAGTTTGGGCATTAAAAGGAATTTGTAACTACATATTTCTATTTTACTGTCTAGTACTAGGTAACAGGACCCTGCAGTTTTTCTAGTTTTCTGCATGATAACAGGAATGCAGAACAGTGGGAGAAACACAGGTTCTAGCCCCTCTTCTCCATCTAGCACACCAAACCTGAAATGAGTGTGACATTCCTCTACAGCCTGCCCAGAATAGGCTGATTCCATAATGGAGAAGAGAGCCAAACAAGGAAGAAATGGAGACGAACCATCATGCTTTGCTTGAATTATTGGTGTTTTAGTCAAATTTAGAACAAAAGACCTCAGTAAAGAAAATGTCTGGCAAAAGAAAAAGCTTACCATAAAACTTCCCAAGATAAAAGACAGTAGAATGCACTTTCATTATACCAGTACATTTTGATTAGTTGTATCCTTATGACCTTTTTTTCCAAACCAGACAAAAAAATGGATTTAGCTAATCTTCTTAATGGATAATGGACTTTCACTGGGAAAAGAGAAGTTAGAGAGACAGCTCAGCTGGAAGAAAGATGATGAAATTATATGTGACGCTTAGATTAAACTAGCAAGTTATGTAAATTGGTTCATTAAGTAGATACTACAACTTCGAGCATCTCAGCATGTTTTATATAATGATACTCAATTACTGCAGAGTAACTCTACCCTGTTGTAGAGAATAATCTCATTCAAGAATTCAGACTGGTAAACTCCTGCATTCTGCCAGAAATGTGTTTCCCAAGATTATGATGGATTTACCTGATGCAAGAATTATGTTTTGTGCTTTTGTTTCATTTGTTTTTTTAAAAGAAACTATGAGAATTGGTTGTCTCCATCTAAACTGTGTTAGATTTTCTTAGAAGATGTAATAGAAATACTTATTAAGTGTATTTAAATATTTAAGAGATATGTAGAAATATATATTCAGATTTTTTAAAATGGCTACCTAATAAAAAAATATATCCTTATGCTGTGTTTATCTAAGTGATTGTTGCTGTCTTTGTTCTTATGCAAATACTACTTTGACCTAAGGTATTTTTACATTTCCAAGTTACTCATGGGAATTAATATTCCAATTAGTAAAATCAGAGATAAGTAACACTGTTACATTGATCTTTCTTCTAGTTCTTGCTTCCAAGAATAAAAAACAGTTATAACAGAGCTCTTGTGTATTGTCAGCACTCATCCAGATAACCAATGGGTGAGCAACTGGCTCATGGGCTGGGCACAAAGGGTTACAGAGAATGGGGTGAAATCAGACTGATGACCTTTCACTAGTGGGGTTCTGAAGGGCCCTATCCTTGGTTCTCTGTGCTCTTCAACATCTTCTTTAATGATTTGGACACTGGACTTGAACAAATATGAAATAAATTTGCCAGGGACGTTTAAATTGGGAGGACCTGTTGACTCCCTTGAGAGCAGAAAAGTCCTGAAGAGAGCTCTTGACAAATCAGAGACTGGCAATCACCAACGCTATGAACCCTATGAAGTTCAACACTGAAAAGTGTCAGGTTCTGTGCCTGGGTAGGGGAACCCTGAATGTACAGACAGACTGGGGAATGGCATGTTGGAAAGCAGTGCCATAGAAAACAAGACGGAGGTCCTGGTCAGTGTCTAGTTGAACATAAGCCAGCAGTGCCTTGGCAGCCAGGAGGGCCAACCCTGTCCTGGGATGCATCAGGCACAGCATCACAGCCAGGCAAGGGAGGGGATTGTCCTGCTCTGCTCTGAGCTGGGGCGGCCTCACCTTGAGTCCCGTGTGCAGTTTTGGAGCCACAATATAAAAGAGCCATTAAATGTTAGAGAGTGTCCAAAGGAGGGCAATAAGGATAGTGAAAGTCCTTGAGGGGAAGCTGTATGAAGAGTGCTGAGGTCACTTGGTCTGTTCATTCCAGAGGAGACTGAAATCTCATCACAGTCTACAACTTCCTTGTGGGGGAAGAGGAGAGGCAGACACTGATCTCTTCACTCCTGTCTCCAGTGACAGGACTTGAAAAACAGCATGAAGTTATGTCATAGGAGGTTTAGGTTGGATATTAAAAAAACATTCTTCACACAGAAGGTGGCTGGGCACTGGAACAGGTTCCCCAAGGAAGTGGTCACAGCACCAAGCCTGACAGAATTTAAGAAAGGTTTGGAAAATGTTCTCAGGCACATAGTGTGATACCTGTGACACTCCTGTGTAGGGCCAGGAGTTGGACTCAATGATCCTCAGGGGTCCCTTCCAACTCAGCATATTCTATGTTTCTATGGTTTTAATCCTCATAAACAAAATTTTTGAAGACCTGAGGGGCTTGTATTTCACAATGAAAATGTTTTGAAATACCGAGCTATTCGCACCACACAGCAGTTGCTATTGAAACCACGGAAATTTCCTGTTCATGCACTTCAAGCAACTGTGAGAAGACAAGCTAAATCCCCTTGAACTACAGACCTGTAAGTGATGGCTCATATGGCAGACAGAATATCCTCCAAGGCTGACTTTTCTGCCTCTCCTAGAGCAGTGGCATAACCTCTGTCTAGCAATAATTTTCAAGCACCATCCATGTATCCAAGTGATCAGGAATTTGATCATGTCTCAAATGTGCTGGGTGACTCAGGGTTGCCTTTTTCAGCTCAAGGGGAAAACTCTGTCCTTTCTTTCAGGTTAACAGCTCACCATGTTCAATATTCTGCTTTAATCTTCAGGTGCATTCACTAAGGGGACAAATGCTGAAACAAAAGTTGCTGTTCAAGTGTGCGCACTCATAGTGCCACATCAGTTCCATGATGAAGTCAAGTTGGCTGAAAGAGCTGAGAACTGGGATGCTGGAGCGCCTGGCTTTGCTGTTGATCTTGTGATGAGAGATCCTGTCCCAGAGCCTAGGCTGGCATGACCTTTGCCGTGTTTTCTGCCATCCTAATTCTGTATCCCAAATATCTGTGAAAAAACCAGGTTTGTTGGTAACTTGAAACATGGCTGCTCCACTACCAACTGTATGGGTCCTGTGGCTGAGAGAATGCATTCTTGTCACAAAGTTGAAAGTCAGTGTTCAGAGGAAACTAGGGAAAAAATCCCACTGTTCAACTGGTATGTTAAGACCAGAGGAAAAGAGTATCTTTCCTGACACCTGCAGAATTTAAATACTGCAGTCCTTGAATGAAGAATTAAGAAATGCCTTAATGTTTACATATGAATATAAAGGTTAATAAATTGTGATATCAAAGAAGGGTTTGAGGTGGTTTTTTTTTTTTTTTTTGGTATGAATAGCAGTGACCCATGTTGAAAAATAAGGGAATATATAAGATGGGGAACAAATATTTTCTCGTTCCTGAGCCTGAACAACCTTCTACTCTGTAACCTGTGCTTAAATTCCCATGGCATGTATTGTCTTGCAGAGAAAGTACTCAACCTGTGCAGAATTAAAAACATTAAAATAACTGATAAAATCTCTGTGTTTTCATAGCCCAGCTATCTATCTCTCTACTTGGCTTCAGGGTACTCCTATCCCTTCATGAAAATGAGGCCAATCTTCTTTTCCACTGGACAGTGATATTTGACTGGTATTTGTTGATATTCAGCTATTCTTATTTCAGTTTGGACATAGCTATAAGGCAGCCCTGAGTCCTCCTTCTCATCTGTCTCTTATTGTCTTAAAGTTGTTCTATTTTCACATCTGTTGAAAATCACCAGTTAGAAATTGGCCTGATTCAATATCCGTTTATTTCAGAAAGCCTAAATTTAAGCCAGAATCATCAGTGGAATTTCAGAGTAGCTGTACCTTCCCACCTACACAGTCATAAATCAAAAAAGAACATGATCCAGGCACATTTGAACTTCAGAGATTTAGAAACCTAAAGTAAGATAAGGTAGATTTGAGATTCCCCTTTCCTCTTCTTACAATTGTAGGCATGTACTGACATATAACACAGAGAAATTTCTGGACTAGAGGATCAACAGCCACCTTGTCTTTTTAAATGTACTGAAGATATTAAATTTGATTTATATCATGCCTTGTGAACTGATAGCAAAGTGAAAAAACCCAAACCTGTTAACTCTCTCTCTTCAATCACAATTTGTCATGAACCGCTTGAAATGCACTCTCTGCAGAGGTGTGGCCATCAGGTTTATGGTTTTACATTCATGACTCCGTTCTTTCTGAGTAGCTACTGATCAATAAAACTGGTTTGTCTCTAGTAACACTTCAATTAAATCTCCTGGCATTTGCAGATTTCTGATGGTCATGACCAAAGCCATTCAGTCTTTCTCATTTCTTCTGTTGTCTTGAAGTGACCTTGATGTTTTACCTAAACTAAGGAGCTGCAGTTTTATTGCTCTCATCCTCCAGGACCCAATGTCTGATAAAATATCAGGTTCACAGTTGATTTTCAAATCAGAAGATAAATATGCTAAAGGTAGTGTATCTTTAGAGCAATTTCCTTCACATGCTCAGAAATGTTCTTTTGCTTAACCCGTTTCCTTCATCCACTTTCACTGTTTATAGAAAATAAAAACAAAGATTTGTTTTTGCAACTCTGCTGTTAAGAAGTGGCTTGTTGATCAGTAGATGTCTGAATTAAGCTATGCTTTTGAAACAGGTTTCAAAGATGAAAGCATTACATCCCAGCTGGCAAACCGCATTCCTTTGCTCTTGTGAGATGACACTATTTTTAAAAAAAGCCAAAAAACTTCTGAAAAGTCACCTCCCCACCCCCCCCAAAAAAAAAATACTGGAAAAATAAAACTGTTACATTACAATGTTTGCAGTTAATTTTTCTACTGAAGTACAGAGGCGGAATTCCATGTTTTACTGTGGCTTATCTCTTGACTCTTCAGATCTGTGCAGGCTCTTACACAGCATTTCCATGTCCTGTAAAGCAACAAATGTATAACCCAGAATTAGAACAAGGTGAAAAATAGCTAAGGTCTTAAAAAACAAAGGCAGAATATGTCATGATAGTATGTCACCTTCAACATACAGAAGAATTTAAAATACAAGCCAAAATATTACACAGATATTTTTCTGGGGGAATGGTATCAGCATTTCTGGTAACAATTCCCAAATGCTTAAACTGCTGAAGAATGTGCCTTGCCAAATGGAAGCTATTTCCAGTTGTTGTGTTCTACATTATGACTAATCATGGTAAATTACAGTGGAGTTCCTCATCTACATGGCAGAGCATGTACACCAGATGACATACATAGATCAAGGCTAACACCTAATGAAAAGCATCAGTGTGAAACAAGAAAAGAGAAAAAGGAACCAAACATCTATTTGATTGGAAGCAGAACAGAAACAAGTCATATTTTGGCTCACAATCTTTGTCAATGTCTTTATACATTAAGCTGAAGATAACTGCTGAACAAATAATTAATGAAATGTCCCAGATGCCTTCTGCTATTTCCACTGACTCTAGTTTTTAGGGAGAGTATTAATTTTTAATCTCTGCATATTCTAACTCAACTAGCTGAATTTTCCAGCTACAATAAGAAGGCATATAGATATTTTATAGCAGTTTTCCTATATATAAAAAACTTATTTTTCTTATTCACTCTTTCTCTCAGAACAAAAAATTGTTGCCCCTTTGTCACACTGGCATGTGAACCATGAACTGTTATAAAATGATTTTTCAATTTTTTCAGAACTGTTTGTGTCTGCGGTTATTTTATTGATTCATTTTGTTTTGATTTTTCATTTTGTTCTGATTTTTTGTTTCTTTTGGTTTTTTGTTTGTTTGGTTTGGTTTTTGGTGATTTTAGATTTATTTATGTTTAAAAAGATTTTGTGAACAACTTTTTAATTTAGAAGGATGGAGGTGTAGTATGTAAATTTTTTTTACTTGATGTACTTGTTTAAATAAAGATCCCAAAAGAGAGTGATCAAAGAAAAGATGTAATCTTTTCTTTCTTACAGTCTTAAACCAAGTTTCTCTTCCTGACTTCTTCAGCAGTAGATACCAAATTCTTGAACAGTTTCCAAATAATTATATCCTGATCTGAAAATACTCAACATTTCAGTCTAGATTGTCAGACTTAGGGCTGTTTTCTGATGTGCTATTCTCAGGTACAGGCATGCAGAAGAGCAGGTCCATGGAAAAATAAAACTCTTTCCATTCAGTTTACTACCTCATCTATTCATCAAGCCTGATACAACCAAATGGAAAATCTTTTTGTACTGTACACTACTAATGCCTAGTAAAGAATACTGGAACCCATTTTAATGCTATTTCTTACAATATTTTTTTTATATAATGTGCTTTTTTTCCCCCCATAGGATCTTTGGGAACAAAATGCCTTTATTCTAACTTTAATAATCAACAGTATTCGTATCAGATTCTTTCTTTTTAAAAAGCAGACTTTTTACACAGTACCTTTTTGAGGTAGGAAACTGAATCAATAGCATTATGCATTTTCTGAAATAAAGCAAAAGTCATTAACGGAAAATATTTGAAATTCAAGGATAAAATATCTGGCTTGGAGCACACACATATAATAACTATCATCATATCATTACATATTTGGATAAGACTTATTAGATTCAAACTATTTCTTTCATTATACTAAACAAGCTAGACATTTGGGAAAGAAAAAACTTTAAACTCAAAATTGTTTGTAGAAAATGAGAGGTTTTAAACTATTGAAAATAATGTTTCGCAGGCTGAGTACTTGATCTTTGAAGACACACTCCTCTTTACATTCATTACATTAATTGCAATAATAGTTGCATTAATTTTTATCACAGTGATTCAAGTCACACACATATGCAAATCCAAAATTTGCAGCCTGTTAGAAGGCTGTGAAAATGCAGGGAATGGATGCTCATTGCTCAGTGTGACAATGTACTTCTTGGTGAGTCATGGACCAGCCAGCTCCTAGGGATATATGAATACTAGAATGAAATTCAGGATTACAGTAGGCTACTAGGTGAATTAGATGGAGATTTGTTAAATTCATCTTGTATGCAGAATTAATTATCAATTTGAGAAAATTATCACAATTCCTTCAATCCACAACAGCTGAAGGTATGGGGGCATCTTTAAGGTTGACTGGACATTTGAATACAGATCTGGCACTGATGAAAACACTTGTTGTTTTTTTTTACCAAAAATCACATAAAGATCTATTTCTTGCCTTGCCACAGGACATTGCTAAGGAATAAGGAAAATATATATTATATATTTAGCTGTAAAACCTTTCTAAAGGATTTTTCCAAGAGAATTTTTTTCTGTTTAACACCACCAGACAGATTGCTCTCCTCTGGACTTGTCAAACCATCTCTTGGAATCCAAGGAAACCTATAGCAGCCACAACATCCTGTGTCGACAAATAGCACGGCTGTATCTTCACTTGTGGGAAGAACTTTCTCTTTATGCTTGTTTTAAAGCTTCTCATACTGTTTTTATTTTATGCCTGCTGGATCTTGAATTAGAACCCAACTGCTGTGTGACACTGCTGGTTTTGCTGACATGTGTCATATTTGTCTTCAGCTATCTCCTGTCCAAATTGATCAGTTCCACTTAGCTGACCTGCTCTTCATTCTGTATCTGTGCAATTTATTGTCCTTCTCTGAACTTTGTTAATATCCTTATGGAGATGAAAGAATCGGAATTCAAGCTCTTGGTGAACTATGTCAGTATTCACTGTATCATTTTAAGCTTATCTACAGTGAAATTCAAATACAAATGATTATCATGTCATTATTATCATGTCATCAATATAAATTATTATCATTATGTCTTTTATTCTCTGAAGGCCTCTTTAAAATTTTTCCTCTTTTTTGGTGCTCCAAATAATTTAGTGTTAAAATTTATTTAACCACATCTTACCTTGCATTCTTTTTCAGGTTGTTTATAAATATGAGGAAGAGCACAGATCCCAAAGCTATCATTCTTTTCTTCCTTGCAAGAACAGGCTGGTCCCTCACATTGTGTATTTCCTGACTTGTATGCAAGTAAGGGTCTTATCTCCTGGCTTACACAGCATTGAACTGCTTAGTTTACTTTAAAGCAACTGGATTTTATCCATTTGCTTTTAATCCCTTCAGACAACTCTAATGGGTTTAAGAAGGAGAAGTTTGCTTTGTTGACTCTTTTCCATTGGGAAGAGATCATATCCATACATGTGACTATTATGTTAATTATTCTCTTTGTTAACTTGCACTTTTGTTCTCACCAGAAACTTCTTTGTTTCAAAAGACAACAGTATTTTTTTTCAGGGCTACAATTCCTGGAATTCTTATGGAGAGACTTGTGGAGGAAGGAAGTTACTTGGAAGTAGGGGGAAAGAAAAGAACCTGCTTATCTGATGTTTTAAACCACTGATGATTTAAACCTGTTTGGGAAAACTTACTTAACATCTAGCATTTGAAGTTCCATCTAGTAATTAAGATGGCTATATAGGACGAAAGTTCTTTTTTGAGAGACACTGCATATTTTTCGCAATACTAGTTAGGTCATTACAGTCAACAACAATTCTGGCACCACCAAATGATGAACAATATGATGGAAAATGTAAACAGGATCAGAATGTTGGAATTCTTTCTGCCCTAAAAATTTATCAGATGCTATTCTGTTTATTTATCTGTCAATCTGACAATTGCAGAATGGCCTCCTAGCCTGAATAAACAATTAATGAGCCAAGCCTTATGATCTAAAATTCTTTGTCAGAGCTTTCATGTTTTGATACATGTTTTGTATTGGACTCTAGATTTTGCTGTGCTATGACAGTATATGTTTTCTTGCTGCATGGTTTCAGTCCTTCTAAAATACACAAGACACTAGTAATATACTAGAACTAAATGGAAGACATGAAAGATGCTCCTAGAAGAATGGAGGTCAGGATAAAATAACCAGTTACATGTGTGATGAGGTGTAGTTCAAATAAATAAAGCCTCTATACTGAAGGGCAATAGAAAAAAACACAACAACCAGACAACAAAACCTTTCTCTGTTGAGACTTCTTACTTCTCTCTCCAAGGTAAGACAGTTTTTATTACCTTGTCACAGCGGTTTATTATTCAACAGTAGCTAAAATTTGCAGAATGTTTGAATGCTGTTTTTAACTTCATTGCCCCAAGGAGCATACTGGGGATGACTTCTTAACCTGACAAGAGTAATTAATATTAAATTTAGTAATAGTATAATAACACAGAATTCGAGCTGTTTATTTTTGTCCATATAATGACAATGTTGGTAGCTGTGTAGTGAGTGACTCACAACACTAGTCTCAGCTGTGGCTTCTCTGTAAATCTTTCAGGCCTGTTACTGATTGTGGTGCTGCAGCAAGAGTTCATGGACTGTGCCTGGGAGGACATCCATCAAAAGCATCTATTGGAAATCTAATGCACAGTAACAGCTGGGATAGCCTGGAAATCCTATTGCAGTCCTAAAGCAGTCTCACAACAAGACATTTGAGAATCCAAGGGTTGTCCACCCCAACCCTGTCAGAGAGGCAGACCTGCAGACCTTCAATGAGGTATTAATAATGGAGTGTCCTGGAAGGAACAGTACAAGGTGGGAAACATGGACGCTCACACTTGTTTTATGTACTGTGACAGTAGTGAGCCTTCCGTGTGCCTCTGGGGCATGCCTGACAGACTCACTGACAGGGAACAAGAGAGTGTATTTGTACATTTATGTTGGTCACACAACAAGTGTTGCATTGCTGCCTGTTGATTTCAGCGGGGATATTTCTTCTGTCTCAAGCAATTCATCTCAGACTGTACGTTTGTTTAGTGGGAATGCAGACTGGGGCTCAGATACTTAATAAGTGCTGGAATGTGACATAATCTACAATTCAAAGTGAGGAAGAGGTTCATTTTGTGACAGCCTATGATTTGTTTGCTCTGTAAATTCGTGCTGCCTCTTCCTCATTAATAATGCCGCAGTTCTGTAATCTTGCAAAACGGGTATTTTAATATTCCTTCTTTACAGCATTACTGCAATGATGAGCCTGATTTTTATCAGTAATACAATGCACAGCTATTGATATCTTTTAATTACTTCCAAGATAATTCAGTAACATTTTTCTTTAACACATTAGGATTTGATGAAGGCAAAAAGCAATTAATGAAAAGTGGTCTAACAGCTTCAATGAGATAACAATCTTTTGTTTAGTGGAGTTTATGTACCGAGAGAGGTGATTTGTTCCCAATACATATTGTCTGCTTGCATGTTTGTTTAATCACCTTGCTGATCTCTTTATATTTTCATCTGTGATATGTTTAAGACTGAGGAAGTGTGAAAGGGTCTGCCGCCCTAGAAATAACTGTGATTGATGGATCTCTATAAATTTAAGACTGAACTTAGAAACTAAGTTAACAAGAATTTCCAAGACAAACCTAAAACCAGTTTTCCTGTTCTGTCTCTCCTAGTTCCTCAAAAAACAATGAGGTAGCGCATGGGCTGTAGGATCTACGTTAGTTGTTAAATTCTATCCCTGCAGCTTAATAACTCACTAATGAGACTACAAGAATGTATGGGAATTTTAACATTTTGCTTGTAGAAAACCAAATTTATTCAATATCTTTTGATAAACTGAGGGATCTATCTGTAAAATTACATTTTCACTTAATAATTTAATGCTACAACTTGGCCATCAGGTGTCTTAATTATTTAGGATGTCCAAAGTTCACAGAAAATTGAAGGATACAACATTAAGTTTCCTGATTTAAATTGCCCAATTTTTTCTTCAAGTGGTAAAGGAGATTCTGAAATTCTACTTGATGCTCACATTCTTATTAGTCAATTAGGTTTGCTAATTGAAATAGCCATGTAAGAAATATTTGAAGACCACTACAGGATAAACAAGGAAAAGTTTAAAGTCCTAAATAAAAACTTCAGTCCTGAACTTTGTTAGGAAACTTAGGAAAAAAAATGTCATCCAGTTTCTGGGTATAGTTTAATAAGAGCCATTTATCTACTTGTTTGGTTCCAGTATTGTCATTTAATTTAACTTTGTTTTTCCTAGTCTGGAAAATCAGTTATAGTAAGATAAGAAGATGTTGGGTTATGTGGTATATTGTAGCTTTGGCAAAAAGTCTATTTCCATTTTTGCTTTACCTCCATGACTTCAATTACTTTTACTTCAAAATCTGGCTTTTATTCCTGTTGGAAATATACTCGTGATCCTGCAATTAATAATTTTTTCTTGTTTTCTTACGTATAAATGCAGCGTTTTTTACTGTGCTGTGGTATGGTAAGAACACCAATTTTGTTAGGAATCTTCAGTGTAAGACCACAGTGTAAGACACAGTGTAAGACCACTGTGTTAATCAGAGAACTCCAGAATGATGGCAAATAAATCACAGATATTCTTTCCTTCTATGTCCATTGTGTCATAGCCAGTAGAAAGGCAAATATGTCTGCAGTAATTGCATCCAATATCTGTTTTTTAGAGCTGTGAGATACTGCAAAATAGCTGAATAGCAGTGTCTAACATCTGTGGCAGGCTGGAACTTGCATCAGGATGCCTTTCATTTAACCCTGTTTGCACTGCTGTATTTGAGAGAGACTGATTGGCCAAGCAGTAATATGGGAATAGGTCCATATCCAGACTGGAATTCAGATGTCTAAGGTGACATTCTAATGACAATTTAAGTGTTCAGGGTGTAAGACTTCAGAGTATTTTGTAGCCAGACCCATCTGGCTCTTGAGGCACCTAAATTTCTTGAACATCTCATCTTTTGGCCTCAACATTCATGTTTCTCTTCCAATAAAATGAGCCCTGAACATTATCAGCTGTACTCAGAGTTGCCACCATAGCAACAATATGGCCCAAAGGGTTCACAATTCTTACCTTGGGGGTGGGCTTTTACCATCCCTGGTAAGACTGTCCTCAGGTAAATTATGTTCTAGCTCAATCATTTGTCTGCTGACTTTTGTGCTGCTCTTGTCTCCTTAAAACTCTATTGACTCACCTCAACCAAACAAAAGAAATTCTGTCCTAGCTTTGTCCGAACCTTTAGGATACAGGTTTGTTCCCAAAAGAGTCTGTGATGCAGCCGTAGGTCACTGCCCAGCAAAAAGAAAGTAAAGATATTTCACTCTCTTCTGCTCCACTGGAGGACTGCATAAAAGGGCATTTCCCCCTCACTTGCCTTACATTTTACAGACAAGAAAGAGAGACTTCCTCCTAAGAGTGGAAGGGACTAAAGACCCCACATTTAGCAGTGACTACTCCAGCATTTTATCTGAGCACACTCCTTGGGTTGGTGCTCTCATCCAGATGCAGACACAAAAATATTAGACCTTAATTTTAACTAGCTCACAATACCTGTACCCTTCTGAAGAAATCTCCCTTGTGGAGATTTGTTTTGGTTTCTTTTTTTGAGGGGGAGCTGGATTGTTGTTTGGCTGCTTTTTATTTCCATGGGAAGAAGCTGAGTCACCTGCAGATTAGAAATATAAAGCAAAAAATCTTAATTTTTCCACAAAACTTTCTCCCATTTATGGGAGCTATACACAGGAAATTGGACCAGAAAATTTAAAAGTATTCATGACAGCATATACAAAATTACTATTTTGATCTGCTCGCAAACAATGTCTTTCTTAAATGGAGTACATTTTAAAATCTTGTAAGGGGACATTTAAAATCACTACAACCAAAGAAGGGCAATTAAATATTGGTTAAATTTGGTTGGTTTATCTTATGGAAATTTGTTACATTTTTTTTTTCCTTGGGAATCTGATTTACCTTTAGACATTTGTATTATGCTGCTGCAGGATTCTAAAGGAGCAATGTTGTAATGTCAGTAACACATACCCATTGTACAGGGCATTTGACTCTACAGTAATACACTATTAGAAATACTCTCAGTTTCCATCAGCCCTGGAGTTTGTCCAGCCTACAGTTGGAATTGTTGTATTGGGCACAAGTTTCTTAGTCTCCAAGGGGCCTTCCCCAGCAATGCTTAGCCAAACCCTGAATCTGAAACACCAAAATTGTCCTCTGGACATGCCATCTTTTTTTAGGCCCACTCAAGACAGTATCCTAGAAGATCCTTGTAACTTACAGAAATGTCTACTATATGCTATAAAACCAGTTTTCTAAAACACTTTTTTTCATTCTGTTATCCATATTTTGATTGTTTTTACAGGAAAAAAAACTTTGTGGGAAGGAAGGCTAAGTGATCATCACAGAGACTTTGAAAATGCTAAGAATGAATGGTAAAACATGCTCTCTCTCAAGATTTGCTTAATATTTTAGTCTTTTCAACTCCTCATGTGTTTGAAATTATTATTTTTTTAATAACAGTGCTTCTTCTAGCTCATAAGGAATTTTAAAAATATGTTAAGCATAAATCGTGGTTTCTACACACTAATCCTTCCATCAAATATATTCTATTTCATAAGTTTTTATGTCATATTCATCTCATTAAAGCACTTCCTAAATAAAATCTGAAGGAATTTGCTTAACATGCCCCATATGTTTGTTTCTTCAATGCCTCTCCCATTGGGAAGGATGAGTACAGTGAAATATCTTTCTTCTCATATTATTTAATTAGACACATACAAAGTATTCTGAACAGCTGTAGCAGAAAGAAAAAATAAAATAAAAGATTTTTCCCTGATATAAGTTTGTAAAATCGATTTTAATCTGTTTTACATTATTCAGTGTCCAGTCTGTCCCTGTGTGAGGTGTGTTTCCTGCATGGGTGAGATGTGTTGCTCTTGTCAGTGATAAACAAGGTGACCACAGCTCACTACAGAATTATGGGTACAATTTGGTTTATACCATTTTAATATATAGACATATATATTAAAATAGAGACATATAATACATAACTATTTGTATTTCTTTACAGTAGATAGAGTCAACAGTAAAGTTTCAAATGTTGTGTCTTTCAGAACATAACCTCCATGAACTGCAAGAATTTGGACTGTCTATTTCTGCAGCAATCAGTCTACACTTAAATCTTCAAAAAAGGTACAGGCAAAATACTTAGTTCTTTTAAGAGACAAGTATTACACTGTTTAGAAAAGGATTCCCAGATTCAAAAATAAAATTTAAGCAAGCTGGCATGTGGTGCTTTAGTTACCTGCTACTCTCTAGTTAAAGTTAATAATTTCTTTCCCCAAGTAACCCAACACCAGATACCTAAGTTTAATTTTATTAGGTGGAAAATATCGCCCATCCAAGTAATATTTTCTCAGTGGTTTTATCTTACCATTCTGTTTCTTCTTCATCAATTTCAGGGACTGATCCTTAAGCTAAATATTAAAAAGAAAACCTTGAGTATTTTATGAAAGGTGGTGACACAGGAAGTTTAAAGAAAGAAATACAGAAACTGAAAGGAAGAGTTTGACAATCCACCAGGTAGAATTACTCAATTTCTTCAAACAGCTTTCTTTTTCTCTGTCCTTATACTTAGACCCAGCCTACAGTGGAAATCGAAGAATTCTCACAGCTGACAAATTTGTCTTCACTGATGCCTGTGGATAGAAAATGGGTTGGAATTGGACACATCACTGAAATAGGCTAGCATCCTTCCATGGCTCATGTCCAAATGGCTATTTGAACAAGGACAGAGAATTGTAAAAACTGTTTCTATGAGAATAGGCTTCATGATATTAGGCTTAGTTTGATTTCCCTTTGCATTTGTTTGTCTCTAGGTTTGATTTATTGCACATTTATTTCTTCAGCACCAGAAACTGCTTTTACTTTCTATATATCAACAATGTTGTCGCTGGTTAATGGTTGGTCTCAAGCATTGCACATTTTTTCATTTACTAAAATGAAATTAAAACTAAGGATTTTAAAATTGCAATTTTAGCTGTCCAGTCCTTACTCAGAGAAGTAATTTTCAATCTAATCTGTAGATCTGTAGCCCTACAAAAAATAATTTTAAAAATGTATAGACTTAAATTTATTTTAGATCAACATCTCCCCTAGAAAAATGCTAGGCAGAGCAGAAAAAAGTATTTCTAAAGCCACAGCTTTGATTACTTTAGTTTAATCTTATAGTTTAATCTTATAGTTATACATTAATACAATGAAAAATTATTGTTTCCTTCACTTTAAATTGCAGTTCTCTGAAAACTAGTAATTTTGTCCTGTTTGTCAGGTTTTCCCAATAGTACCTCTCTGTGCTACTGTATTAACATAAATTAATACATTAATTTAATAACATTAAATTAATTAATTTTAATGTTATTAAATTAATGTATTAATTTAATAACATTAAATTTAATTAATTTAATGTTAATAAATTAATTTATTCACATAGCTACCTTATTTATTCTGTTTGCTGAACTTGCATAGTCATCTCTCTCCCTGCTATGCTACTTTACCTGTTCAAATTTACTATAACCTGGATTTATCAGTTTACATTTACTACTCTCATTTTCCATCTGCTTTGATTGCTTGCCAAAAATCACCTCTTTAGATCATTGCAATCCAGCCACTGCTATTTAATTCAAACACTGTTCTTTGTTTAAGCAATTGATCGACAATATTAGACACCAGACATTAGCTCCTACTTTGTTTTTCACAATTATTCTCTGTTCCTGCCATTTTCTGATTGTAGTCTGACTGCTGCTAATTATTTACTGCAAACCACTTACCATTCTTTCCAAATATCTATTTGTCCCCAATTTTTTACATTTTGCTTTTTTGTTTGCATTGAACTTTCTTTAGTAGCTACTCCAAAACCTTTGCTTCTGTATTTTTATGGATCCTTACCAAAAAACTCTTTTATTTACTATGGTAAATACTGATTGTAAAGGAGGTTACTTTCTTTGCTGTCTGCTTTACAGGAAAACAGGATGAGTGATACAATGAGTATTATCTGACATCAAAGGTGGGTTCTTTTAAATATATATAAATACATGTATATAAACACATGAACGAAAGTTGATAAGAAGAAGCAGCCAGTGTCTTTTCCGTGGTGCCCAGAGACTGGATCAGAGGCAATGGAGCACTTAGCACCTCCCTCTTTGGAGATACTCAAAAGCTATCTGACTCAACATCTTCTTGGGCTACCAGCTCTGGGAAGTCCTGCTTGAATAGGGGGTTAGATCAGTTGGCCTCCAGAAGTACTTCCAACATCAGTGCTTTTGTGACTACGTGATCAACAGATATTAATTAATCCTGTAGACTCCCTCAAATACAGGACTTTCATGAGCAAACTTTCTCCCTTCCCTAAAACTTATTATTCTTCCCTGTGAAAAATACTGCTCACTAATCACATCTCATTTCCAGTTTATTTTTCATCTTATGTTTCATTTTCTGTCTGACTTGTTTGAAATACTTAAGAAATATTCATCATCTGAAAATATTGGTTTTCTCCTTTTTTTTTTTTTTTAATAGCATAAAAGTCAGGCTGCTGGAAATCAAGTGGAACACAGAGAATGTGACAAGAGTTATCCACCTTTTTATGCACAGTCAGTATTTCAGATATCAAATTATATTCCCTTTCTACTTAATTCTCTTTCCCCTTTAGCCCATTGGACTTGGTTGTTTGAAGGTCTGTGCTTTAAATGCCTTCTTTCTTGACAATGAAATAATACAGATTGCATTGGGTATTATAAAACATGATATCTGGCAAATTGCATTTTAATAGTTTGAAGGAAAGTAATGTAATTTCTCAGCATTCCTAGGCTGTCAAGAAAGAAGAAGGAATGAGTGGAATTTAACTACAGCAATGGTAGAAAGCTATGTTTGATTTAAATATGCTTTGAGAAGTTTTCGTTTATGATGCCAAACTCCACAGTGCATGTAGACTATAAATGAGAACAGGAATATTGTTTTTCTGAGTCTGATGGACAAGAACAGCCTTGATAAATTCCAAAGAAGAGTTTTATATAAAGTGGTGCTAGTCAATTTGTTTGTAGGTAATAATGTTGGATTATGTTTGACACTTTCTGATTGAGCTTTGTCAGTAGTCAGGTAGTAATGGGAGGAAACCTCAGTCAAAAAATTTATGTTAATACAGTAGCAAAGAGAGGTATTATTGGGAAAACCTGACAAAACAGGACAAAATTACTAGTTGTCAGAGAATTGCAATTTAAAGTGAAGGAAACAATAATTTTTCATTGTATTAATGTATAGCTATAAGATTCAAATACTGAGTTTCTGCTCATTGTTTTTGCTTGCACACAGTGTGCTCCAAAACAGCACTGAAATATAGGACAAAACTAAATTGTGAAAGCATATAAATGTTTTTTCATACTCTTAATATTTACCATTTGAAATTGCTCTCCCTCCCATATTTGTATCCAAATATGCAAACTTTAGTATCTGCCTGTGATTACTTTCAAATTTTTTCTTTAATTGATGGAATAGAACACCATAAAATAAAATCTTGTGATATATGGTAATGACAAATCATTATGCCATTAGTCATTTAATACAGCTGTCATATTTTCATTCAAACTTAGAAAAAATAATACCAGGCACCACATGAGGGATACTTTATAAAAGGTTAAAATGTTGATTGTATTTTAAATAGAGGCTCTGTGACCTAGAAAGGGGCAGATAATCTTCACTTCAGGTATTATGGGAAGCTATAACAAAGCCACATTCTTTCTGTATTGCACTGGCAGGATTTTAGAATGAATTCTACTGTTGGCCAGCTCTCTGCACACTAACTCACTCCTAGCAGTATTATTTTGAAGACTTAAAATCTCTGAGCAGCTTCAAAAAACTTTTTTATCTTACATTAGTCCTTGCTGTCATTCTTTTACTCCTATGCGGCTCCATCAATGAAAAAATGGTCTGATGGTAAAGCATAGAAGTGTTCAGTCTTCAGCTACTGACATCCTTGGTGTTTGCAAATCCAGTCTGGTTAGAAATGGGTGATTTTCAACAAATGAAGAGTGACACTTTCTTTTCACTTGCTCTTTGCTATAGCACAAAGCACTTGTTTTCATTTCTAGTTTTATCCTTTAGCCATCAAAATTGTCAGTTCAACATTATCAGTTAATGGAAAAACAATTTTCTCCAATTTATCTCTGAGTGATGTTTTCTTGTTCATCTAAAGATTGTTCATCTAAACAGACAATGTTTGGGCACAAAGATAGCCTGCAAGCGTAACAGGTATGGGTAAATGATTGAAAACCTTTTTTGAACATTTGTGCTATGACAATCTTTCTTTCAGGAAACGATTGGGTAAAAAAGTATCTAGACACTTTGCTATGGTTTCCTCTCAAAATAAATTAGTTGAAGCTCTTGGAATCTCTCTCAAAAAAAAATCTCTCAAAATTACCAACTCCCTTATTTGATGGTACTAAGACTTCTACTCTGATAGTCTTAACATGTACCTTTTCCCATTCTTTCCTTCACTAAATCTCTCTTTCACTCTTTTAGTCAGAAACAATAACCTTCATGGCCCTCAAAAAACTTGAATATATTCCCAAGAATTCTTTCAAACAGCTGACACCCAACTCTAAGGAACTTTCAGTACAGTCTTGGTTTACCCTGTTTCTGTTCAATGGAAAAAAAATAGCACTGGTTGTCCAAAAAGACAAGAAAAGATAAAAGCTTCATTTCAGAAGAGTATTTGGAGAAAGACTCCTGCATCAACACCAGTATTAAAAGACAAATAGACAGAATCATAATATTCAGTCTCTCTTTTGACAGATATATTTTTCATGGCTTAGCTGCATATTTAGGTGTGCATTTGACTGATTGACATTAGCTATTTGCAGAAGCAGGAAGAAAAATAATGAATCATTCTGAAATGAGGTTTCTAAAGGCCAAGTTCTTTCTGATCTTAAAACTATTAAACATGAGCCAAGAACTGGCTTACCTAGTTCTCCTCAACTTTCATGCCAGTCTGGTTTCAAAAGGTTTGTGAAAATGGCTCCTTTTGCCAGTGAGAAGCAAGAACCTTTGAAAATATAAAACAGATGAAAGATGCAGATGTTACAACACACACAAGACTTCCAAGATACAGGAATGCTCTTAGGCCAAAATTCCTATGAGTAAAAGGGCATTGTCCACAGGAACAGATCTTATCTGTCCTCAAGACTCGCCAGTTTCTGTCCAAGTTAAGTATTTTTAAAGCAATTTTCTGCTGATAGTGAATATTTCAGATCAGAATATATGTTTATGCAGCTCATGAATGTGTAGCATACGGTTATGGCAAACTAGAAGCTTCTTTAAAAATGAACAAACATAATTTTTAGGGTGTTCTACTTGCTTAATATGTTGCAGAGTGCAGACAAACTGAAATGTGGGTTTGAGGGTAAAAAGAAGGAGCAACTGTAGAATCAGATCCATTACTTAAAATGTGGAATTTAAAAAAAAAATACTTCTAAGGCAGAAGCATATGCAAGCTTCCTGTTGCTTTAAATACATTCTCTCTTGGTAGGAACTGCAAGCACCCATGGTGTGCTGTGATTCTGCTGCCTCCCTCAGTAGGTCTCCCTCTCCAAGAATTTTCCCCTAACAATTTCTTCTTTATGCCAGATAAGTTGACCTAACACAGTTTGTTTCATCTTAATGGGGTGCAATAATATGGCTAACAAAAAAAAAAAAAAAAAAATTAAAAAAAAAAAAGGAAAAGAGTGCTGTTCCAAGTTCTAATATGAACAGATTTCAATAACAGCCTTAGCCAAAAGATCATCCATATCAGCTGATGGAAGAGTGCTTCCTATGGACATGAAGAGTAACTTTGCCTTCCTTTGGACAACTGTGCACTGAAATATTGTGTTCCTACTAGTAAGCAAAAGCTTCAAAACAGTCAGTGAAAACTTATCAAGTGAGAAAATGCCTGCAGTCCTGCATACTGAAGTCATCATAAATTTGTAGATCTCAGGCAGAAACAAAGCTTTGCTTTTAAAAAATTTATTTTTCAGTGGGGATATGAGAAAAATCTAAGAGGTTTAAAGACGTAACAGAGAATGCGGAATGTGTGTCCTGAAAAACTCTTATGTGATCACTAAAAATCTCTGTGAAAACTAAGGTAGGAGGGAGAGGCAGAAAATTAACAACTCATTTTTGATATTCAACTCCATAAAGACTTAGTTTATCATGTGGTTTGGCTACATATTTTACTACATTTAAAATTGTCTTTTAAATGTCTTTGTTTTCTGTGGAGATTAATTTTGATAAGGATTGTATGACATAACAAAGTAGGGAAAGGCCAAGAAAGGAAAAGAGGAAAGGAAATAATTTTTGAGATGGAATACAGATCTGTCCAAACTAGAAGAAGAACTTAATGAAAAGCAGAGACAATGAAATACTGAGGGCATTGTAGTGACTGAGAACTCTGAGAGTAGCTATTTGATGTTAGAAAGTTAATAGCATGATATCCTTTGTAAGGAGGCAGAATACAGGGTTGTGGCGAAGAAACCTTTTATGTTTCCAGTGCACTGGGGAAAATGGGCCACAGTTAATCTGTTTGTCTGTACACACGAGTTTGTAAAGGTGACCAGCTGAGCTGGTAGACATTTAATGAAGGCTTTCTGCAGAGGAAGAAGGGTGCAGGTAGTGGAAAAGTCCTTAAGTCATACAAACCACAGAAAAAGCCTTGAAAAGATTCACAGGCGCCATAGAGCCACACAGAAAATTTTGATAAAAGTAGAAGAGAGGAAAAGACAGACATGCTTTTTACCAGACAGTATTCCATTGTATTTGCAAAATTAACAAGCTCAAAATGGACAGGTCTCCATGATTCTGCAGAAGCTGGGACTCTACACCCTTGAGAACACTCAAGCTGAAGGAATATTTCAAAACAATGCAGAAAGAGAAACAGAAGAAAGAAGCTGGAGCTGGAGGCTCTAGTTTAATATTTCCACCTTTCTGGTTTTATCTTTAAATACAGTTGTTCAGAAAAATTCTGCAAAACCTAGCTTTCTGAACATTCTGCTCTCCATCTGACATTCAGTCCAGAGGTATACCATGAGTGTTCAGGAGAATATGGAATGGTTCTGGGAAAATTTATTTTGGCACTTATAGTTTTCATTTTTAAAAATCAAATTTTTTATTGATTGCATTTGGTATGAAATAAGATAGGAAATGGAAACACTTTAAAAAAGTGTAGGAAATGCTTTTCTGCCTTCCAGCTGGTGTGTCTATAACAAATCAATTGCTATTTAAGCTGAGATTCAGGCAAATTTATGTGAAGACCAGCATGATATTCCAAGGGTGTAAAATGAACACAGAAGAAAAGGCTCTCTCACAGCTATGAGCACTAACCCTTAAATGATGGAAGAAGGTCAGTGACAAATTTTTGGAAGATGTCCTGCAGGTAGGATGTTCTTCAGCTTTTCTCTTCCCATTCAACATATTTGCAGAAAACATATTGCTTCTTTCTAGTAGGAAAAAAAAAGGTGAAAAAACAAACCCTCCTTTTTCTTATTTTCTTTCTGCACAAAGAACAAGCAGAGTTAACTGCAAGTATAAAAAAGTATAAATCTCTTTTTTATTTTTGTACGAGACAGCAAGACAGCAAATGACTCCCATTTGCTGCAAAAATGACAGCACTGTGGGCCAAATGGACTCCAACACAATATTGATTAGGACTATTATAGCCCATCAAGGAATAAATGGGACAGCAATTTCAAAAATGCTCATGTAGTTTATGTGATAGAAAGAGAAAGACAAATTATTTGACACAGAAACAGCCAAAGCAACTGGCATTGCAGATGAAAATTAAGGAAATTAATATGGATATTATATAACCAAGGAAACTATGAAAAATATATTTACAAATAATTTCACTTAATTTATTGTTTTATAAATATTTGTGTGAGAATTAATTAATACAATTCAGAATCAAATGTTTTTAGAGATTCTGTCCAAACAGCTAAAATATTCCCAGCTCCTCCAGAGCTATGTGAACACTAATGTCTTCTGTTTTCACGAGCACTTCATCCTACAGAGAATGTAAAAATCATCAGAAATATTACAATGCTTCCTGAATTGCCTCAGCCTCTCCTCTTCTAAAAAATATTGTGATTGTTGTGCAGAGAGCTAGGGATTACATGGTGCTGCTCCTCTGCTCCATCCTCAGGAGTTCCTCCCCGGCTGGTTGGGCCACACAGCCTTGACTCCAGCCTGGGCTCAGGGGGCTGCTGGGCACTTTGTGTCAGGAGCCCAGAGCTGTAAGTGGTCAGCAGTTGTACAAGCCCTGGCAGAGGTCTTTTTCCAGCAGTAGGCTGAACTTCCAGCTCAGAAGTTGGTGTTGCCCACAAGATGATTCTGGTTAAATCCAGCGGCAGAAAGCAGCCATGCTTACAATGTGAGGCAGGATATTTCTTGCAGAGCTGGCACCAGTAATGTGCTCTTGACTGTTTTTTACTCTTTCTTTGAACTCTTACATTATTTGCATCAGTGCTTTGAAAACTGTTTTTTGTTACAGGCTTTTTAATTTCTACATAGTTCATCTGTAATCAGAGGCTGTAAATTACTTTTCTATTCTTTCTGGTGCTTCTGTGCCACTCTGCTTTGGGTATCAATGCAAACTACAGCTGCTTCACTTATTCACACCTTTCCTCCAGAATTCCCTACAAGAAGGTATTGTTGCCACTATGAAGTACTTTGTACCATCTGAGATCAGCAGCTTATATGTTTTTGTTCAGTAGTGTTAAGGTGTCATAAGGCTTGAACAAAGTACATAAATAGCTATTCCAATTAACAAAAGTCTTGGCATCGTTTATTTCTCTCTAGTTATTATTTCATCCATTTCCAGCACACTACTAATTCTCTGAAGTAGTATGGAAGTTTGCATGTAACAAAATACTGTATTCATCAAGAGCTTTGTCCATTAATATTGTACTTTCCTGTGTAACCATCAGTACTTGTCCTGCTCCATAGGTGTAAATTATTGGAGATGATTGGACTCTGAGCTATTGCTGTTCATCATCTCACAGAACACAGTTTGACTTTGTTTTCAGCAGGACTGCTGTAGAAAATAAAAAAAAAAAAAAATTTTCAGATCACTTTCTATCCACGAAATTAAATAGAATTTTAAGATACATACTATTTTTGATATAAAAACAATGCTGCTATTAGCTTCTTTTCCTTCAAATCAATGCAAGTCACGCAATATAACCAGCTAAGAGCTGAAGATACAATCTGGGAGGTACCGGGCTTCGTATCCTCTTAGATATGAGATAAAAATCAATAGCATTTGGAACTAAAAACACAAGCAGTACTTAGGAAAGAACAGTCAGTAAAGAACAAACCAGAGGTTATCTTACAGCTGTAGCAAAGGTTTGTTGGATCTCCTTAGATTAGCTGAGACAACACTACTGCTAAGCTCCTATTTTACGAATATCCAGAGAGCAGACAGCTTGTTTGGATTGCAGCACACAGAAATAAATGCACACAGGCTTTTGGACCCTTTTAAAGATAACAACCTTCTTATACTGTTGCTTGAAAATTATAAAGGAAGCTAAATATTGGTCCAGTAATTTTGAATGAGAGGAGTAATTTCAATTAATAAGGAGGATTGCATTCAAATGACACAGGGTATGTTACAGAGGCATTTTAGAGCAATGCAATTAGTTATATCTAAAGGGAGCTAAGTTTTGGCAATATGACTGAGACACAAAATCTACTCCATGGGTAGGCACAGAAGATCAAGGAGGTAGTCAATTTTCTTTGCCTAAATTAAATTTTGATGAATGCTCTATAAGAAGCTTCTACTAGAGTAAAGACTGGTGATCCCACTCCAGAAAGCCATGTCAGTGTCTCTGGGTGACAAACACATGGAGTGCTGTGAGCACGGCAATTGCCTCTCCCTGCATGGTCCGGACCATGCCGAAGGGTGACTGCAGCTGGGCTACAGGAGGTGGCAAGGGGTTCAGCCAGTTTAGGTTTGGCACTAATACACAGGATTTTAGGTGAGAGGATAGGGATGTGCTGTTCACAAACCCCCTTAGAGCAGCTAGGCTACACAGTATTGCTGAGATGTGCCCTCCACCAGGATGGACACAATTCCCTCTTAAATCCTGCATGACTGCAGGATTTAAGCAGACTCATTGCAGGTGATTGTTCAGCAACAGATTTGTTCCCTCGTGATCTTCCATAGTTTTGTTGTATTTGAAGGACAGAGTTAAAAGTAACCCTTAAGAGACTTTAAATAGCTATTAACACTTCTTCAGGATATTAATGATGGGTGTTGTGCGTTTTGGAATGAATAAACCAGAGCTGGAATCAACAGCTTTACAGCCAAGGTTCCAAGTAACCAAATCTGAATTTAAATTTGGACTGACCTTCAAAGCTAGTCTTGCTTTGAGTGTAGTTTGGATCAGATGGCCTCTAGAGGACCTTTCCAAAGTAAACTATTAATTCTTTTAAATGCAGTTTCTGGGTGGTAAAAGGATTATACTATTTTACTATACATTTTATATATCTTTAGTGTCAAGTTTAGTAATTCCTGGCTCAGTTAGAAAAGTTTCTGTGGTTAACTAAGAACTGGCTGGAGAGCTATCCCAGGCTTTTCATAAACAGAGCAGACAGTTCGAGTCTCTAATAGACACATTTTTTTTTCCTCACAGCTGCTGTTCCAGGTATTAGAAAGAATTGTAATTCATTAAAGTGTTAAAAAATAGAAAAGAAAGTTTTTAATAGTATTATTTTTTTCTAGTCTCTAGTATATTAAAAACTAGTCTGTAGTTTAATAATTGTTTCTCCCTCAAGGAAACACCTGCATTTCATCTGATGTCATAAATTTACTAGTTTTCCAGTTGCTCATGATGAATTCAGAGGGAATAGGAGGGGCAAAAAAAGAATATTCTAAAGAATGTCTTTATAGAATGCAAAAAATAATCTTATCATTTCATCATATAAATAAGAAGTTACATAAACTTTCCCTTTTTTCTTCTTTTTTCATATCTGATTGTCTTCAAGAAGCAATTAATTTACTAATTCTTCCCATCACCCTCAGCTTAAAGATGCCCTTCCTCTAATTCTGAACTTTTCAGGAAAAGTAGGGACTTTGCTCTTTAACTCAAACATAGACTGAAAACCCTTTGGTTTTGTGAATTTAATCAAAAACCCACTTTGACCCACTGAATTTCTTCTTGCTCTCATTGCTTCCTTGCTAAATTGAATGGCTTTGTCTGGGTGTGAGACTCATCTGCTGGTTTCCTTTCTCATGCCTAATCAATCACTGCCTGGCTGTAAATGCTGAGAGTGGCACGTGTATCCATCATTCTGCTGGTGCTTAACTACATGGGCTCTGAACTGCTGGAGGAAGAAAACAAGTGACATCCAAGTAATAAATATTTTATGGTTTTTGCCTTTGACAAATATTAATTACCTTTACAACAGTTCGCTCTCTAGTTTATGGTATCTCCAACCTGGGGTCAGGTCTTTTTTCAGAGTGAAGCAGGGTGAAACTCCACTCAACTTTCAATAAGATTTAATTAAATGAATGCTTGGGGGACAGATGGGATGCAAGACAAGATTATGAATTACAATATTTTACTGGTCAATTTAAAATCATAAGCAATGCTCTCAATTTTTCATGGTTCTGTTCTGGTCTTTGCAAACAAAAAAAAGAAAATGGTGCACCTCATGAAAAACCATGAAGAAATCCCTACTCTTCCTATCATACATGCTTCCTTGGCCTGCCACATTCCACTCACTAGATTGCATGTTTGTTGGACTTTACAAGAAGTTTTTCTGTCTGTTATAATTTTAACTCATTTTCTATCACATGATAATAAAAAGAATATTCATAATCTGGACTGCAGAGTCAGTTCTTTCACAAACTTAATTTGCATTATTAAATTAGTGTGTGAATTTTGCCTGGAATAAGATTACAAGCACTAGGTCATCATATGTTATACATTTGCAATCACAACTTCTTACTCAAATAAATTGTTATGTTTGTAAGCAATTCTAGCCAGTGGTGCAAGAGGAAGTATCTGATTGATGAAATAATTTCATTTGTAATTGCCATATATCCTGTTTGGAGAAGTACTGCTTATTTTTGTTGAGTATCATCCTAATTATTTGATTTATTTCTATCTCTCCAAGCATTAGTAATCTTTTCAACTTTGGAAAGTCGCCCCATAATTATTCCCCAAGGTCAATGTAGATTGTAGTATTGAAAACTCTGAATAGTTCTGAGCCTAGAATGTCACTTAAAGAACCTTCTGAAATATGACTTTTCATCTTTGGGTCTTTAAGATTCTTTTTTCAAATAATTTCATATTCTTCTGGCCAGTAAATCTTCAATTTTCATATGTTTGACTTTGTGAAACAGCAAAAAAATCTTGCAGACGTTAATAATCCATAGTTGTGTTGTTATAAATTATTATAAATTAAAATTATGAAGTTTTATATGATTCATCATTTTTATAATTCACTAAGGATATTATTTTTCTTTATCAAAGAAAATAATTAAGTCCTTTTAAGTTTTTAACCCTGAAGACAAGAAATTTACTTGAGCAATCAATTGTTCTGTTGAAGACTGTCTCCATTCATGGAATGTCCTTGTATACTATAGATTGGCCACTTTAAAGAATTACTTTAGACTGAATCAATCTTTTATATGTTTTTTTCAGTGAACTAACTCTAAAATTTAGCTGTTTCTTGGATGTGATTTGTGAAATGTATCAGGTGATCTCATTAGGGCTGCCTCACTGGACAAGCCTTCAGGTTTTTCTGGCATGCGTACCTGACAAAACATTTGTTTTCTCAGCGACCATAATGCAAAGCTCCTTTCCCTCCTGTAGGCATATACTCACCTTTTCTTTTTTCTCACTGTACTCATTCAGCAAGCAAACACTTTTTCTCCATGCACCTTATGCTGTGGTAGAAGTTTTCCCATCAGCCTTCCTAGCAGATGGTTTTTCCTCTGCAGCACTTATGATTTTTTGGACACCAAGATTTGCTGAATCTCTTGGCACCCTCCCTTTCACTGCACTATTAGTGCAGCAAATAATACTGGTGGTCATATTCCTTCCTTCTTCCCTCTTCCATCACTATTTTTTAAAATCAAAACCGTATTTGGTCTGAATCTTATAACTGCAGACAGAAAATGTGCTATCTGCCAGAACTGGAAGAAATGCTAGCCCTCTCATAAAAAAATAGTGGCTTATTTTCAGTTTTGCTCAGTACTGGAATAAAATCAACAAAAAGAATATTCCCATAAAATGTAAGAAAATGTTTGGTTCTTTACTCCCCTAGAGCCTCTCTATACTCTACCTATTTGTTCCCTCAACATGACATGCGTTTTTTGTTCATGTATTTCTTACGTCTTTGCTTTTATCTTTGCCAACACAAAACATTTATTAGTTCTACTAAAAATAACAAATGTAAGATTTTAGCTCAGCACAAAATGTTTTCCTCTCCCCTGAGAAAGAGCACAGCTCTCTTACTGTTTTCCCACAAAAAGAGTTCCCTTCTGGGACTTCTTTCTGGCTGGTGATGTGTAGATTTACAATGTACCATATATGAAGCTATCATCAGCCTGTATTTGGAAGAAAAGAGGTTATCCTTGGAAGAAGGAAGCTCAGTCCCCTTTGTGTTCCAGTGATGCTGGGAGAGGCAGGGTCATGGCAACTCTCCTTGCTCTGGGAAGGGCTGTGCAGATTGCAGTCTCACAGGAAATCCTCCTCAACAACAGGATGAAGACAAATTCTCCCCTTGCAACTCTCCCTCCTTTCCACTGTACATACAGTGGCACCAAAGTGTGGAAATGAGATGAAAAGCAGAACACATATGAGCCAGACTTACAGAAAACCTCCATGGTATGAAATGTGCAAGGCTCAAATATTAAAATAAGTTTGTTGTGTACTACTTACTATGAAGTGAAATAAATGAATTGAGCAGAAATTATTGCTCCTCTGACACTTTCATAAGGGCTAAATCCTTGGAAAACGCATTTAGGGTTGCTGTTTGGTATTGTTGCACTTTCCTCACTTCACAAATGAGGACCCAGGGTCATTCCAGCCTGTGTTATTCAGAGGGATTCTTCCTGTGTAAATGACAGCAGGGAAGTGTAGATGAAAAGCACACACCTAAAGCTCACACTAACACTGAATCAGAATGCGGGTAGATTGCACATAAGGGTATGGGAGCTGGGAGGTCTGCATTTCCTGCAGTTTAGCTACAGCCTGAAAGCAAAATGTATAGTTTCAAAGAAACTTTGTCTTACTTGTCTCCAGAGGTCCTTCCCAACCAAATAATCCTGTAATTCTGTGAAGGTGTATAGAACAGCCAGCTGGAAAGTACACAGAATAAAATGAGACTTTCATTTCAATTCTCTTGCCTGCCAAGTAGCTTAGAGACTCAGCTTCTTGATTTCTTTCTTCATTCTTAGACATAATTAATATTTTAATTATTTAAAGAAAAAATGAACAAACAGAACAGCTCCAATAATGGACTGTTAGCAACACACTGGAAGACATTCAAGAGCCTGGTGTTCATCTCCCAATTCATAGGAGATATAGGTCAACTTTTTTACTTTTAATAAGGCACAGTGATGATCTAAGCCCAGAATGATACTGCAAACATTGTTTTATTGCATTAAAAAAAACACATAGCCATCCCAGAAACTTTTATTCTGCAGCTGTTCCTTTCTGTAGGTAACATATCCTTTCAACATGCCAATCATCACTTGAGAATATCACCTATGCACAGGCAAAAGCCACCAGAACTTAAAACTCTGCAAGGACTTAATGAATGTTAGTGATGCCTCAGGGCTGCATTTTGACATTAGTTTCAAGCTGGGTCTGGATGCCGTGTGTAAATTCCTGCAGTAAATCTGCAGCACAGTAAAGAACATGACCCAGATGTGTCAGATCTTAAGTGGACACCCTTCCTTCCGAGTCATCCTTCCCACTTGGAAAGAGGAGACTTTGTCCTCCACAAACCTTGACGAGGAAAGAATGGCAAAATGTACCACTCACAAGTAACTTTTACCAGGGTTCTTAGTTTTCCTTTGAAACACTTAACTCTGAGTCACAATAACACGAAGTCATATTGTTCTGAGAAGAAATGGCTTATATTAAAGGGCATTTTCTTCCACATTTTGCAACCATGTCTTTTTTCCAGCTGTGAACAGAAACCAAATTTTCCTGCTTGTCTCATGAGGTTTTGGATGATACAGACTGCTTTGTAAACAGCTGTTCCAGTGCCCGGTGGATTGAGTGAATTTGGAGGTACTTCAGTGGCAATATCTACATTTAGAATAAGAAAATTCCATCCAAATTCTTTAAGGCAAAACTGAGAATGAAAAAGAAGTCCAGCTCAGAGAATGGAAATAAATAATTTTCTGTGGTAGCCACATTACAGCTGTTGCAAATGCAGCACAATTAAAGTCTAAATTAGAATTTTCCATACTTATACTTTATTTTCATTAGGATTTATGTTTTCTCTGCTGAGTTTAAGTAGATACACATGTATGGAATGAAAATATTTTGTTCAGCTGATTTTCCTGGCATATTTGTTTAGTCTGCTGAAGGTTCTCCAGCAGCCTCTCTGAAGTTAAAAGAAGGGAAGTAATTATTAACAAAGGTCCTTTTTTTCCAATTTTTTTTGTTTTTCTAGAGCAACTTGAATAATTATAATGTAATTTACTTTGTCACCTACTTCATTGTTTGGTTTCCCTGATGGTTTGTACCTCTGGAGCCTTTGGCCTTTGTGAGTTCTTGTGAGCAGTAGTGGCAGCCTGGTTTTGCTTACACAATATTCTAGCTAAACAGAACAAAGCAGAAACTCTTTCTCTGTTCCTCATTTTGCTATTGCTTCATTATCTACAGAGTTTGGGGAAAACAAGAGCTCTCCATCACTTGCAACGTGGGAAACTTCCATTTCTTCACACCCCTTACTGAGTATACCTACATCTGCAGCTGCATTCCCCTGAAGAGAAGCGGAAATAGCATCTAAAATGAAGAAAACAGACTTGCCTCTTGTTTATATTCCCACAACATATGCTTCATGCTACACATAGGATGGAAATAGAAGATCAGGCAGCAAAAGAGCTAATTCCTAAGAGAAGATTTGTGCCATTACATCACTGAAAATCTGGACAGTCAGCAGGACAATGCTGAGGTTTCTGGCCTCTACTCTTGGCTACCCTATAAGCACTCTGTCTCTTCCCCAGTGAAAAGCAGTCCAAGTTGGCTTAGTTACAAGAGGAACATTTTGCACGCAAAGATTTTGCTCCCATCTGTGCCCCAGTTTGTCCTCGAGCCAAGTACCTGGTGCACAGCTGACCCAAACCACCTTGAGCAACCAGCATCAGCCTAACCAAAGGCTAGTCTTTATTTTTCAGTAGTCAGGCTGGTGACATGAGAACATTAGCCCCCTCATTTACTCTCAGCTTTACTTCCTACTTCAGCTGTCTCCCTTAATATGACACATCAGCCAGAAGGCACAGATTTAATCCCAGAGCTCTTACCCTCTTCCTGTTCTATGAATAACGTCTCATCTCTAGGAAATGCAACATAATGTGCATTACCTTGAATTCTTTGTCTTGGCATTGACACAAGGTGGGAAGAGTTGAGAAATAAATATTTACACTGGTTCATATAAGACACCTTTGGAGAATAGTCTTCCCGGGATGTCTGCATGCAGTATGACAGGCTAAAAGGCAGATGAGTGGAGGAACCTCTTGTAGGTGCCCTGAACAGCCCCCTGTGATACCTGTAAGCTCTTTGTGGCTCTAGACCTATGCAGATGAATCCCAAAAGTACATTTAATTACATTTAAAATTGGAAATTAAATGTAAAATTCCTCTTGTGTTCATCATGAGTAACAGATCCCACATGCACATAGCCACACCAGTGTCTCGTCCTTTAACTGGCCTTCTCTGTCTCCTTCTGTGGCATTGAGTAAAGACATAGAATATTACTTACCTGGCAGGTTTAGGTGATCTGAAGTCAACCTGAAAAGTCCTGCCTTTAAAGCACCAAGAAGATTTTAGCTAGACTCTTCTCTAACAAATAAAGTTGTCGTGTTTTTGTTTTTAATGTATTCATTAGCAGAAGTCCAGCTCTGAAGCAAAAGTAAGTTCTAAGATACTCTCTGTATTGAGAAAAAGCACTTTAAATCAGCCTGAGGCTTCCTGCTTGCACAGCTAGCATCGTGCTCAGCTGGTACCTGTGGGAAAGTACCTCCAAAGAGGCTAATTAGGGGCTATCTGAGTGGAGGCTGCATGGTGCCCCAGAGTACTCTCCCAGACAAATCTACAGAGTGGATGGTTGAATTCAAATGTCCTCCAAAGTGCCAAAAACCAATTAGTGCTGGATGTCAGCACAAACAGCTATGAAACACTTGTCAGAGTGCAATGGGATTTTTTCCCACAGATCCTAGCAGCACTAAATCTGCTTAAAATGTTAATCATATAAAGTAAAAAGTAAGCCAGGCTGCTCTGAGCCCTTCTGTTAACCCCCATGTATGGTACATATGGACAATATCCCATTAAAACAGCCTTGGCAGAGCACAAAGTGTAGTTTTAACCTTGCACTATACCAAAAAGTCCCCTAACCATGTGGAGAAACAGAAAGTGTCAGACTTAAACACCACTTTTCAGAAAAGCCACTCAGAAGTGTGACTCACTAGTTAATTAACCTCTTTTCCATGTTTGGGGGGAAATTGTAAGCAAAAAAGCAGAAAAAACAGTAAGGTGTAACAACAGGTTTTTTATCATTAGAAAAGAGACAAAGCATTTGCTACTGAGTTCCCTGCTGTAATAAAAAACACAATTTGGAGACTGATGTGACCTCTGAAAGGGGGAAGTCTTTTCCATCTAAGTCAACGAAGCATATTGCACTCAAATTGTGACCTGGCTTCTGTTTTGTGGTGTAATAGCACACTTTGCAGTCAACGAAGAGAAGCCCATTTAGTGTCAGTCAGTCCCTCTCAGATATTATGTATAAAACTCACATGAAAGGATCCTAAATAAGACAGATAAAGTCAAAAGGAATATGTAAGTTTAGTTCATCAGTTGTCTGAGCAACTGCCTTAAATCAGAAAATCTTATATGATGAAAATCAATTTACTGTAACATCTACTACAGGTTATAGTCTGGGTTATTTTGCTGTTCAGCAGGAAACATTGCTGGTGTTCAAAAAAATAGGAATTTTTCCTATTATTTCTTAGATCATTAGACAAAGGAGATAAATGTAATCAGTAGGTTTCCATAAATTTCTCTGGCTCCTTTTACTTTGGTGATGGTTTTAAGGTGATATTCCTATATTGCAGAATTTACAGTGAAACAGCAGGTAACATTTCATGATGCTGTCAGTCAGCTTCTTCCTTGGCTTTCCTGATTGCTTACTTGAAAAAGGGCAGAGTGCTTAGACAGCAAAAGAGCTGAAGGCAAACCATAGAATTGTGCTTAGCTTTCCTTGTTTCATTTGAAGATAATTTACTTCCTGGTTCCATAGTTTCAGAAAAGAGAGAACATCTGTTCAGGACTCCCCAAGATTGGCATGTGAGCTGCTGCTGCTGTCCTTTGTTTGTGCAGTGTTGGCAGCTTCTTCAGTTTGTGTTCTTTCAGGGGGATACAGGTGCTCCATGTCAGGATACTTCCAATTTCAAGTCTTTCCTGTATTCATTGCTTTTTCTCAGGTATTTATACAGGTCAATTACTTTTTGACAGAAGTTCAGGTTCTGTTTCAAGTTAGTCCAAATATACATGTTTTTATACATAAGTAATTCCAAATTAAGTGTTTGATTTTTTTTTTTACAGTTCTTAAAGCAATTTTTTCACATAGGCAGTCCCCACAGACATACATCCAGTTCTTAAAAATCCAGAAGAGGAGAGTATTGCCTATCATATTTTTAAAGGTCTGCTGCATAAATAATGCTCGATAGCTATCTAATCCTCAAATGAATAAAAATATTCTCTATTAAAGCAGGTTTTCATTTAACAAATTTGAAAATGTTAATGCAATATTAACACTCGTAACAACTACAAAAATTATATTAATAAAGATTTGATAGTCCAAAAAACTTTTAAAAAGGTGGATATAGTTTCTTTTAAAATTTTCCTTGAATCTTCATTTTGTTTGTGAAAATAAGCATTATCTTTTGAGAGTATTCTGAACTCTTAGGTAAGACTCAAACTGAATTTTCCTTCTGTTTCAGAAAGAGACATGGGAGAATGGAAAAAGAAGACTTTTCCCTCTTAGGTTGGGATGGCATTGAAAATCTGAGCACTGGCCTTTTGGAATTCCCTGAAAGTTATTTTTTATTTCTTTTCCTTCTTCTTTTTTATTCATTAAGAAGGTAGAGAGTCTTTTCAGAGGAGTTTCTTCCATTTAATTTAATTTAAGATTTTGCCTGCTCTCAACACTTCTTCAGCAGTTATACTCAATTTACAGCTTAAAAGCCTGGTAAAACTTTCATTTTCAGGATTTGTTATAGACAGAATTCACTGTTTTCTTCTCAATGTAATGAAAATTTTTGGCTATTATACCATATAACAAATTCTGTAACTGCTTTCCATTGCCTTCAGGAGGACATAGAATTAATAAATAAGGATTTGCAGACAGGAAAGATTTCTCCTGAAATCTGCTGGCAATGGAAACATTAGCAGAGTACATGTTTTCTACAGGTTTCATTAATTACCCTGAAAAATTTGCTTCAAAAAGCAGGCATACTATAAATAAATATATACTGTTTTGTCTCAATATAATTTATAGATATATATTCCTTCAAATTTACTAAAAGTGTAGGAGAGTTTGTGGCAACCTGAGCTTAATTGAAATAATTTTTGCAATTATTTTTCAGGGAGCAATATTGAGCTTAATAATTTGCAATCTCTCTTAATTTGTGAACTCTCACAGAGCAGAGACCAGAATTTGGTTCCTTGTGAAATCTCAGCTAGGTTCCTTGGGGTTAATGTTTATGATACTGTTTTAGTGCATGACCATAGTCTGCATTGTCTGTGCCATTTCAGCTGCATCAGGGCACAAAATAGCTGATACCCAATTACTGATGAGCTACTTGGCACTTTCAGTTTTACAGAGTATGGCCCCAGGTCTTATTTACTGCACAACATCCAAATCCTGCTAAAAGTTAGAAATAATATCTTAGGCTCTTCCATTGCAGTTGTTACTGTTATCTCTGAATATTCACAGAAAAATCCTGAGAGTTTATGATTCTCACTTTTTGGCTGGAGAGCCAAGGCACAGATCCATTAAGGTAATAAAACTCATTAAATTAAAGTGGCCAGTTTGAGACTTGAGGGTCCTAAATTTTCAGAGCATCAACACTATAAAGCACTGTGTCTTTGACACCCCACACCATTGGCTTATCATTTAAAGAGTACCAGTGATGGAAACAAATGAAATCTCGTCCTCTAGAATAAATATTTATTTTGAAAGCAAGATTTTGCAAACATGATTCTTTCCAATACACACTGAAATTTCTTCTTGGTAGGAACATTGAATTTTGAGAATATCCAATGCCTAAATTGAGGTTTGATTTTTTTTATGTTGCTTCCAACATTTAAAAAGTGGATAGACTTCTTTTATGATAGTACAACCTCAAAATTAACTACTCTGTTTAAACAGTGTGAAATCACTTGTTCAATAAAAATTGACCCACCAGAAATTACCTAATCTAAGGAATATACATTGATTTGGAACAAATCTGTTTTTCAAAATCTTTGAGTCTTTTAAATAATAAAATATCCTGCAGTCTGACTTGTCACTACTTGGCACTTCTGCAACAAAACAGCATGAGCCCAGCCATACTGATACCTAACAGTGGCTAAAAAACACAACCACAGAACACCTGTGAGAAGTTTGGGTGAATGACCTGCACAGGATCACACTGATAAATTTTTGGCAGTTGTACATTTATAATCGTGTCTCTTGGATGGAATTCAACATCCTCAGCCAGGAGACCATTATTCATTCTTTTGCCCCAATTTCTTTTCCATTCTCTACACAGCTTTTAGCATTTTCTACAACCAAAGCAAGAATCCTTCAAAACAATAGGCACGTTTCATCACACACTCCTAATTCAATCCCAAAGCAGAATTTGGTGTGCAGACTGGAGTCCATGCAAAAAGTAAAAATGTAATCACAGAATTCAGATTCTTCTTATGTTGGTCATGTACAGGGATCATGTCCTCAGTGAGCCAAGGGAACATGGTTTAGAAAAAACTTCTGAAAAGCAGATGGAAAAATCATTAGAAAGCTGGATCTTTAAGACCCATGGTCTGAATCTTTAAAGCAAGACAGAGTTTGGTGTGGATGAGTGCCAACTGAAGAAGGCTCAGCCAGATATAAAAATATAAAATGAGAATGCTCCAGACCCAAGTCCTTGAGACCTCATTCCATTTCAGTGCCAACCTGCATATCTCTGACTTATACTGATTCTGGTTTGATGGCATAGCCATTCCCATTTCAGCAGGGTCTCTGTCACAGGCTTTTTGTCTTTTCCACAACACTAACTGAGTATTTTGTCCTGCCCTGAGTGCTCATGGTTCCCTCCATGCTCTCAGATTTGGTGGGCAAAAAAATCTCTCATTAAAAAGTTGTTGCTACTCCAAAAAACATTTCTAGCCCTTACTCCAAAAATTAGAGTGACTGGAATATTACAAGTAAACTCATATTTATTACACAGTATTTTTTTTCCTCTGACCTGAGTTCCAATTGTGCCAAGGTTTTCTTCTCTGAATAAGATCCTGTATGAACTTTTCAGCTTATATACAAAAAATGTATGAGCAACTTAATTGGAAGGTAATTTCAGAGCTATCCAGTGCTCCTAGCAAAATTTACACTACCTTTTTATCGTGCTCTCTGTTCCCACTTCTCAGAGCTTCCTGAAGACATATTTCTACCTTGATATATTACAAGTAATTTAACAGCAGTGAGAGAGTTGTGTTCATAAGCCATTAGCAAATGTGTGGTGTGGCGTGATGCTGATAGGCATACTGGAGATAGAATCTGGAAATTCAAAAGTTAAATTATTAAACCATGACTTCCCTTATCTTACACTATTCCTCATTGTAAAAAGAAATTGTCATTTTGTACCCCCCTCTTGCCCTTTCATTCCTGTAAGACTTTCCTGAGCTGATATCCCTCTATAGGTATGCAGCAAGAACGAGAAGAGGGAATATCCACATCAGAAAGAATCAGCAGGACCCCAGAGAGCACAGCA